ACACATATAGAACCCATCAAAACCTAAGACATGTATAGAATAGACACATATAGAACCCATAGAAAACCTAAGACGCATATAGAATAGACACATATAGAAACCTAAGACACATATAGACACATATAGGGCCCATCAAAACCTAAGACATGTATAGAATAGACACACATAGAACCTACACATAAGACACATATAGAACAGAATAGACATGAGATGATGGGGAAGGTCACTAGCATCTGAGGGGTGCCATGATTCAAGAACAGTCTCATGAGGAAGGTAGAGCTGGAACTGAGGCCAGAAGGGAGCTAGGAATTCCAAAAGGCAGCAATTAGGAGAGAGAACATTCCAGGGATGGGAGCCCACGGGAAGAGATTGCCCCCGGCCACACAGGCAGTAAGTGGTGGAGCCAGGATTCCAACCTAAGTCCTTGGGCTCCAACGACTGCATTCAGTCAGAGGACCAGTCTCCTCTCTAGGCCTTAATTTCCTCCCTTGTCAAAGGAGAGGGTTAGACTAGGTTGTCTCTGGGCTCCCTTCCAGCCCTAGATCTGGTATCCTCTGTGTGACTTTGGGCAAGTCCTTTCCCCTCCCTGTCCCTCAGTTTCCTTCTCTGTAAAATAAGGTGATTGGATTTGATGGCTTCTGATATCCCTTCCAGTTTTAGATCTAGGATAGACTCAAGGATGCAATTAAGGGTCCTTTCCACTAGATCATACTGATCCTCAACTTCTATGATGTGTCATCTTCTCGGCGAAACTCTTGATAACCACTTGCCTCCCCCAATGAGACCTTGTCTGGAGATTATTATTATTATTATTATTAATGGCATATATACAGAGCTTCAAGGTTGGCAAAGCACTTTAAATAGGCCATGTCATTTGAAGATGCCTTGTAAAGTTTAATGCCTATCGAGTCATTTGTTGCTATTAGCAGAGACTGTTGTTCGGTTGTTTTTCAGTCACATCTGACTTTGTGCTCCCACTGGGGGTTTTCTTGGTAGAGATACTGGAGTGGTTTGCCATTTCCTTCTTCAGCTCCTTTTACAGATCAGGAAACTGAGGCAAACAGGGTGAAGTGACTTGCCCAGGGTCACACAGTTAGGAAATGTCTGAGGCTGGATTTGAACTCAGGTTTTCCTGACTCCAGGCCCAGGGCTTTATCCACTGCTTTATCTAGATGCTCCATCAGCAGAGAAGCCTTCATAAAATGTGACCTCTTCGGTTTCAGGCTTTTGCTTGGATGCCATTTTTACTGTGTATTGTACCTATTTGCCTATACAGCCTATGCCCTTGTCGGGGATTCTAGACTTCCTATGGCTGGCGTCCTTCATCTTAAAATCCCTAGTGCCAAGCACAAGGACTTGAATATAGGAGGGGTTTAAGAAATGTTTCTTGGAGTAAACTTGCTCTGTTGATTCTGGGAGGGCACTTTGAGATCTATAGAAGGTAAATTCCATGAGGTCGGGGACTTTCATTTTTGTCTCGCTATCCCCAGCATCTAGGACAAAACCTGGCACCTGGACGGTGCTTAATAAATGCTTGATGGATTAATTTATCCAATCCAGCCCTGCCCAGTCCTTCTACAGATAAGGAAGATAAGGCCCAGTGAGGCAGAAGTTAGAGGAAGAAATGCCACTAGAACCTGGCTGTCACCCTGATGGAACCATGAAAAGGTTGGTGCAAAAGAAGGATTTGGGGCTCAGGACTATGATCATTCTCAGTCTGGAGGGAAAGGGAAAATATTCTGAGCTTCCTCCTTTGGGACATGAGAGGCTTGGATTAGAGGAGCTTCGAGGTCTCTCCCAGTTCTGATGTTCTGGGTTCTCAAGTCTCCCAGATCTAACATTTTCTGTTCTAAAGTCTCCCTCAACTCTGACATTCTCTGTTTTAAGGCCCCTCCCAGTCCTGACATTCCCTGTTCTAAGGCTCTTCTCAGCTCTGACATTCCCTGTTCTAAGGCTCTTCTCAGCTCTGACCTTCCCTGTTCTAAAGCTCTGACAAGTCTCTGTTCTAAGGCTCCACCCAGCTCTGACATTCCCTGTTCTAAGCTCTGGCTCTGACATTCTCTGTCTTAAGGCCCCTCCCAGTTCTGACATTCCCTGAACCCAAGGTGGTGAAGAAACAAGGCTCTGAGCATCACTTATACACCCGTTCCGGCTGCTAGGGAAATGTTTGGCTCTTGCCTTCTTCTTAGAAGGTTAGTACATTGGGAAAGACAAGCAAGGATGTCCCCCTTCCCACCCCACCCCTTTTGTCCTTTCAAGGTGAAATTTGGCTGCTGGCAGCCGTTTAATTTGGGAAAAAGGATGTTCGAAATTAGCTGGGTCCCTTCCTTGCCTGGAGCTTCCTCTTGGCATGGGAAGGAGACATGGAGGCTCCAAGCAGTCACCGAGGCTGGCTGGGTGCGGCCGGCCGGGCCCGCCCTCATTAGGAGGGGATGGAGGCTGGTAGTAGGGGCCAGCTGGGTGCATACCTCTGCCGCTGACTGCATCCTGCGTTCCCTGACCAGCCCTGTTATTTGAAGCTAGGTCCCCAAAACACAGGGGCACCTTCCTTTTTCCTTTTGAGACAGCCCCTCCTGACAGGAGTAGAACTATCTTAGGGGACCAGTCTTTTTTTTTTTTTAATCTCACTCAAAATAATATCTTTTGTTTTGACATCATTCTCATTTCCAAATATATCCCTTCTCCTTCCCCTCCCTGATGAGCCATCCTGATAACAAAGAAATAAAAGAAAGAGGAGAAAAAACCAGTTTATCAAAACCAACCCATGCAGCACCCTCATCTAAAAGTATATATACTCTTCCACACCCGTAGTCCTCCACCTCTCCAAAGATGGGAGGGAGGCACATTTTTCTCAATCCCCTTCAGATCCCAGCTTGGTCCTTTCAATTACACAGCATTCAGTTTGGGGGGTTTTGGTTTATTTTTCAAATCCTTTTATTTATGTGGTTGGAGTCAGAGTGTATATTGTTTTACTGGTTCTGCTTATTCCACTTTGTATCAGTTCATACAAATCTTCAGGGGCCATTCTTAAGCGGCACTCTGGTATGATAGGAAAAGCCAGAAGACCTGGGTTCAAGTCCCAACATTGCCACTTATGACCTTAGCAAGTCACTTCAACTATCTAAGTCTCAGTTTCCATCTCTGTAAAATGAGGGGCTTGAACTAGATTAGCTGTGACTTATTAACTGTGACTTCGGATAAGGCCCAGGGGTTGGACCAACTCATCTGGAAGGTCCCTTCTAGCTTGAAAACAAATGATACTATGACCTCTCCAGCCTCAGTTTCTTCAGCAGCAAAATGGGGCTAATGTTGCAATAGAATTGTGAGTTTCTTAAGTTTCATAAGCAGGAGGATGAATGACAATTCACCAAGGTGGCCCAGGCCTGCCCAGATAAGTCCCAGGAGGACGATGTTTTAGAATTAAGAATTTTTTGGCCTTTGGCAGTGTTTAAAACCAACCTCAACTGTCAGAAACAGACTTACAGAGTCACAGACCATTAGGAACAGGGAAGGTGTGTACATCTTCCTGGTTATATAAGGAAGACCAAAATACCTTGAGAGATAGTATGGTATATTGGAAGGGGGGTTGGGATGGGGGAAGGAGTAGTAAATAAGCATTTATTAATCACTTTCTATGTGCCAGGCACTGTGCTAAGCACTTTTTTGGGGGTGCTAGGCAATGAGGTTAAGTTATTTGCCCAGGGTCACACAGCTAGTAAGTATTATGTGTCTGAGACCAGATTTGAACTCAGGTCCTCCTGAATCCAGGGCTGCTGCTCTATCCACTGTGCTACCTAGCTGCCCCACTAACACTTTTTATAAATGTTATCTCATTTAATCCTCACAACAATACTGGGAGGTAGGTGCTCTTATGACTCCCATTTCACAGTTGAGGAAACTGAGGCAGACAGAGGTTAGGTGACTTGCCCAAGGTCACACAGCTAGTAAGTATCTGAGGCTAGATTTCAATTTAGGTCTTCCTGACTCCAGGCCCAGCACTCTAGCCACTGTGATACCTAGCTTCCTCTAATAAACAAAAAATATTAGGAGAAAAAACCATCAGACTTGGTATTGGGGGACCTAGGTTCAAATCTTTGAATTGATTTTTTTTTCTTGGATGACCTTGGGTGAATCACTTCCACTCTCTGAGCCTCAATTTATCTGTTCCTTTGTAAAAATGGGGGTGATAACACTTATACTACCTTCTTCACAAAGTTGTTATGGGGAAAGTATTTTGTAAACTTTAAAACCATAGATAAATGAGAGCTAGCTGCTATTATCAGAGGCAATTAGGTGGTGCAGTGGTTAGAGCTCTGGGCCTGGAATCAGGAAGACCTGAGTTCAAATCTGGCCTCAGACACTTACTAGCTATGTGACCTTGGGGGGCAAGTCACTTCACCCTGTTTGCCTCAGTTTCCTCATCTGTAAAATGATCTGGAGAAGAAAATGGCAAATCACTCCAGTATCTCTGCCAAGAAAACCCCAAACGGGATCACGAAGAGTCAGACATGATTGAAAAATGACTGAACAACAAGTTGCTATTATTGCTGTTGTTGATCCTCAAAAGCAGATGTCCCTGCCTAGTTTGGGTAGGCCTGTCAAAATGCTACTCCTATGGAGGTTACCTCAGAAGGTATTTGGGCTGGCTCAATAACATGGCTTTCTTGCATAGTATCTGAAGGAAGCTTATCAAATGGATAAGACCTCAGTGGCTGTGAATTAGATAGGTGAGGAGTGTGGCGGCAAAGACTCTCTTAGGAGCACTCCAAAGAAAGTTGGCAAAGAAACAAAATAACTTTATCTCACACATCTTCCCTCTACATTTCAAGACGCCTTAGATTTAAGCTCTAAATAAGCCTCTCTGAGATCCCAAAGGAGTCACTTACCAGATCCAGCTTGACATTTAGGTCAGGGGAAGTGACTCGGCAGGGCACAATCACTTCCTGTGCTCCAGAAAACACAGTGATCACCAGTGGCTCGTCATAGTATCTTTGCACAAAGGGCTGGCTGTCATCTGTGGGAAAGAGAAGGCGGATGATGAACTCTCAGGACTTATCCTGTGGCTGTCAAACCTCAAAGGAATAAGGGAAGGAACAGGTTAGTCTGTAAGTTTCTCATGAGTATGTTTAAAGAGATCAGTGGCCATGAGTAAATGAAAACATTTTTGAATTCACCTTCACATTGCCTTCCCTAGCAGGGACCCAGATAAAGGCATTATTCTCAAGGACTGACCTCTTGAGGTGAGGTCGTTTGCAACAAGTACAGAAGCAGACCCTTGGTTTGTGAACCAGGACATCTAATGGGCAGAGCAGCTACAGTCTGGACATCAGGCCTTGCTCCAAATATGACAGTCCTCTAAGCATGTGGCTGGCTTACGGTGCCTCCTTCTTTCCACCTCTAGCCCCTCTCCTGGGGTTAAACTTAGATGATAAGTGTCATTCCTTATTTTGTCTTTGTAAACTACCAGGAGGGTGTAGGGAACGGAGAACCAGCCTCAATGCCAGGAACACCTGGGTTCAAGTCCCACTTCTGACATATAATTACTGAGTGACCCTGGATGAGTCATTGAACTTCTCAGTACTCCCAGGCTATCCTCTAAGACACTACCAAGGTCTTCTAGAGATTACGAGTCGAGGAGAAGGCACCGACCTGCTTTGGCACAAGGCATTATCTTACCAGGAATTGCCTACACAAATGGAATCACAAGTCTAGACCTGATCCCTAAAGTAACAGATAATAAGAGTCTATACAGGCACATGTCTACAGGACTTTAATGTTGACAGATCACAGTACCTCTTTCCCTCTCTTCCTCCCTCCCAGTGTGGCTGTCAAGAAAGTATGATAATTCCCATTTTCCAGATAAGGAAATTGTAGCCTCAGGATCACGTGACTTGATAAACAATAGGACCACAGACCTAGAGAGTGTCAAGACCATCCAGTCCAGTCCCTCCATTTTATGGAGAAGGGAAATGAGGTCCAAAGACAGGAAGGTTATACATGGGATCAGAGTTTCAGTGCTGGAAGGGACCTCAGAAACCATCCAGACCAACCCTCTCACTTTACAGATGGGGGAAACAGTCCCAGGGAGGGGAAATAGTTTGCCAAACTCATAGGGCTAACGAAACAGAGATGAGATTTGAATCCAGGTTGTACAACCCCAAAGTCAGGGCCCCTGCCTCTTAGGAGGGAACAGTCTCAAAGCTGACATGCAAATCTTCCCATGCCTTACCTCATCTGTCCCTCCTCTACATGCCTATGACTCCCAGATCTCTGGTTCTGGTACTGAATTCTGATGGGAACTCCAGTGATATATTCTAAGTAGCCAGTGGGTCATCTCCACGTGGATGCCACACGGTCAAATTCAAGATGTCCCAAACTGAAACTTTTCTTGTCCTCTTAAGTCCTCCAGGGTCATCAATGGGAATACCACTGCCTACTCCAAAACTCCTGAAGCTACTCTTGATCCCTCCAGCTATTGGTGACATCTTTCCCCACCCCACCCCCTATCCCAACTGGAGGATTATAGTACCTTTGGATTCTAAGAACTGTTTCCATGGTGGCTTCACAAGCTGAGGAGGAGGAAGAAGGTGGGCACAGTACCAGTGATGAGACCCTTCTTAAGCTTCTAGGGTAGGAATCCAGCAGACAGACCACATGTGCCTGACAGGTGGCCTCAGAATCTCCACAGCAGGGAAAAGTTGCAGGAAGATGGATCTGGGTAGAGGCCATAGCTGCCTCCCTAGCTCCAAAAAGGCTGTGGGAGCAAAAGTCCCAGCCCCAGGCAATAGGGACAAAGCTAGGCAGCTCCTGAAAGCTAAAACCCTAAAGCTTCCCTTTGCTTAGGATCGCGAAGGTAATAGAACCACAGAAAGTCAGAGCTGGGAGAGGCCTTAGAACAGGGAATGTCAGAACTGGGAAGGACTTAGAATAGAGAATGTCAGGGCTGAGAAGGACTTAGAACAGGGAATGTCAGGGCTGGGAGGGTCTTAGAACAGGAAATGTTAGAGCTGGGAGGGACTTAGAATAGAGAATGTCAGGGCTGAGAGGGACTTAGAACCAGGAATGTCAGGGCTGGGAGGGCCTTAGAACAGGGAATGTCAGAGCTGGGAGAGGCTTTAGAATAGGGAATGTCAGAGCTGAGGGAAGCTTTAGAACAGAGAAGGTCAGAGCTGGAAGGGACCTTAGAACAAGGAAAGTCAGAGCTGGGAGAACAGGGAACGTCAGAGCTGGGATGACCTTAGAACATGGAATATCAGAGCTGGGAGGAGTTTTAGAACAAGAAATGTCTGAGCTGGGAGGGAAGAGCCTTAGGACACAAAGTTTGGGAGGTAGAGGAGCCCTGACAAAGCACCTAGTCCAATCTTCTCATTTTATAGATGAGCCTAAACAAAACGGGGCTTGTTTGTGATTACTCAGCAGGTCAGTTACAGAGTTGAGCCTGGATGCCTCAGGTTTCCTGGGGCTCTGGGAACAGTTGCATCACATGCCCTGATATACTCTGAGCACACCATCAACACTGTCTCCAGGCACAGCCTGACCAAAATGTAGTTGGCAAGAGTTTGTGCGATGTCATCGAGTCTCTTGCTTGCTTTCTCTCTCGAGCCTGAGTCCCTTTGTAGAAGACGAGGCTGGCGAGGGCCTTAAGCAGTGGCGCCCCAAGGCTCAGCATGAGACCCAAGTGGTCTCTCTCTGCTCTTGGCACTTTGTCTTTTGTGGCTGACGTTTCAGACTGGCCGACCTTAGGGTACCTCAGGGCTCTTCTCCCTCCGTTCCAACTTGCCTGCAAAGCCCCACTCCCAAACTGCTCGGGTGACTTAACCATCAGAGAAAGGTACACTATCTCCAGATGGACCCTATAAAAATGACCGTGTGAACATGTGTCAGATTTGCAGTCAGGCACAGAGGGTGCTGAGCCCACCAGACCTGGCAGGAAGGTCTTTGGAATCTGGCATACAGATGGCTCTATGTTATTAGCCATGATGGGTCCAAGTCATCTTAAAATACAGCCAAAATATCCTGGCACAAAGGGGACACAAATGGAAGAGGTAAATGCAGGGCAAGCCATCTTTTGGGCATTGCCAAGCTTCCTGAGGGCACGCACAGAGCTCTGCCAGCTGCTAAGGGAATGTCAGGGGCCCTGGGCATTGAAGGTTCTTCCCCTGCATATTTTTCTAGGACTCCATCAGTTATCCTTAACCTGGCCTATAGACAAGTTATTCAGGGTGATGGTCAAAGGGCCTTTGGCCCACAGGATCCTCTTGTACAATGGCTTTGGACATTACCTTCAAGGCCTAGCCCAGTGGCAGGAAATCTAATTGACCCCAGACAGCCTCAAGAATGGTGACAGCAAGGGTGACAGCCAGGGAAAACAACAGTACTCTGGGTCATATCCTAGGTCTAGAGAAAGAAGGCCACAACTAGCTGTGGGTTGTGGGGAGGCCAGCCCCAAACCTCAGCCTGGTAAGAGACAAAAATGAAGCCTATAGAATGTCAGCTGTGTCAGAGGCCTTGGAACACAGAAGGTCAGGGCTGGGAGGGTCACCTTAGAACCTACAGCAGAGAATGTTGGAGCTGGGAGGGGCCTAGAACATTGAGCATAGAATGTTAGAACTGAAAAAAACCTCTTAGAATTTCAATAGCCTATGTTCTAAGGGCCCTCCTAACTCTGTTTCCTCCTCTGTAAAATGATGGAGTTGGAGAAGTCTGGGGAGATGGCAGAGTGTAAGGTAACTATCCCACCCACCTCAAATAAAGAAGACCTTGAAACATAGAAAGCTCAGCAAGGGCAGGAATAAGACAAAGACCCCATCACCAGATGATTCTTGTGTGTGTGTGTGTGTGTGTGTGTGTGTGTATGTGTGTGCGTGTGTGCATGCGTGCGTGCGTATGACTGCATGTGTCGATGTGGGTGGGTGGGTGGTGGGGTACTGAACACCACCTTGCCAGCAGGCTGCTCGTGGGACTGCCATCACTCTCAGCCTCCCCATCCCACGCTTGCCCACCCGAAGATGACTGGCCCAGGGTACCCTCCCAGTGGTTACCATTTTGGAAGTTTGGAAGTTAATCTTTTTCAGTTTCCTTCACCAGTCAACTATAAGTCAACGAGGAATTATTCAATGCCAATGATGTGCCAAGTTCTGTGTCAGATGTTAAGGGCACAAAGACAAGAATTTAAAAAGTTCCTGCCCTCCAAGAGACAACAAGTGCATAGCCCATAGAAAGAGAGAGGAGATAAGAACGAGTTCATTGGGGGCAGGGGAGTGCTAGGCTAAGTTAGAAAGGTCTCATGGAGAAGGTGTCATTTGAGTCAAACTTTGAAGGAGTCAGGGGATTCTAAAAGGCAGGCAAGAGCAGGGCGTGTATTCCAGGCATGGGGAGCCGCCTGAGCAAAAGTCCAGAGACAGGAAATAGTGTCTTGTGTATGGAACAGTAAGCAGATCGGTTTGGTGAGACTTCTAAGTGTGGGAATGGGAGTGATGTCCAGTAAAGCTGCAAAGAAAGGTCGGAGCCAGTCTGTGAAGGGCTTTAAATGTGAAACAGAGGAATCTGTCATTGGTCTTAGAGGTAACAGGGAGTTACTGGAGTTTCCTGAGCAGAGGAGTGACTCAGTCAGATCTGGACTTTAAGAATATCACTTGGGCAGCTGTAGAAAGGACAGATTTGGAGAACAGATGACTGGAGGGAGAGAGACCAAACAAGAGGTTGTTGAAAAAGCAAGAGATGATAAGAGACAGACTTGACGCGTAGTGTTTTAATGTTGAAGAAATGACCAAAGGGCGGACTAGAGGAAGAAGGGGGCAGTTTGACACCTTTTCTGGGGGATCTGGGGAACATTAGAGACCAACTGTACAGATAAGAGCCTCAGATCTTTGGGGAACCTTCTGGAGGTGCTACCTCCTCCCTCTCCTTGCTCCTCCAGCTCTGGGCCCCGACTGACTATTGGATCTTAGGCACCATTCCGTTGAGAAGTTCTTTCATTCAATAGTCTTGACTATTTTCATCCCTGCTTCTCTT